CACTTTTGCAGACACATACTGTGGCGCTGCTAGCATGGAAAAAGCTGAGGTTCATTAACGGTGATGGGCCAGCATAAAAGACGAACATCTATATTTCTGACGCATTTATTCATTTTGGTAGCATTGCTACGGGTTTGCATAACGTGTCGGAATGTTTCCACGGCAAGATCTAGAGTTGCCCTTCCTTGGCAAGCTCAGCTTTCTCGTAGCAACATTGAACTATATCTGTTGCGCAGAGGGTTTGAATGAAGCTGACCCCGCCTTCTTCAGCATCATTGTAACTTGCGCAGTGCCCAATTTTGTCCTTCGGGATTTTGCATCTCAAATATGTTAGTGGTGGTATTCGATTTTTGATTAGCCGCAAAAGCTTGAATTGTAAGCAGGGGGTAAACCATCCGTTTTGAACCATTTTGAAGCACTGCCTAGGGTCCGTTGTTGAGTTTTATTGCACCCTAATATGCTCGTGTCATGAAAAATCATCCTACTATATATAATTCGCTAAGTATGTCTGTGTGTGTAGGTCTGTGTGTGTGTGTGTGTTTGTCACGAAATTCGTAGCTCGGGTCACAGCAACGATAGCGCATGTTATAGGGGGTGGGATGGGGACACAAGTGGTACGTGATAGGAACTGATAACGACTGATAATAGCTGATAAGAGGGGCTAGAAAGCGAGCATCGCCAATTTCGTTTTGTCGTTCATATTGGTACTAGAGCGTCTATACTTACAAGTGTTATGTGGGGTGGTCCCGGGACATTGGTGGTACATGATGAAAGCGATAGCAACTGATAAGGGCTGATAAGGGGCGTCAGAACGCAAAAGTCGTCGATTCCGTTACCCAGCTCGCGTTGACACTAGAGCGTCCATACTTACAAGTGTTATGTGGGGTGGGACGGGGACATTGTTGGTGGGTGATTGAAAGTGGTTACAACTGATAAGGGCTGATAAGGGGCGTCAGAACGCAAAAGTCGTCGATTCCGTTACCCAGCTTGCGCTTGACACTAGAGCGTCCCTACTTACAAGTGTTATGTGGATGGGACGGGGACATTGTGGTATATGTTATACCAGTTTAGCTCCGCACACTACCGCGTGCATGACACGGAAGGGCTCCGTAAAGCTGGCCAGCCGGCGGAGCGTTAGGTTCCGCCGCTAAACAATAACTTGCTTCGTGAAATGCGTTAGCTGGCCTTCTACAGAATGCCCATTTTTAAGCCAACCGTCTGATACGCGCGGTGGAGTGCGGAGCTAAAGTGGTGTCTGTAAACAGCCACCATGCATTGGATGTCAGGATGATTTAGCGGTCGAATAATATTGATGCCAATGATTTTGCAATAGAAATACCCATTATCGTATATCGCTAAACATCCATCATACATTCTTAGGGACTTTGGGAATGTAGCGGTCGAACGGTATTTTATGTTGTTGATGACAACAACGCAATGAGATGATACTGAAGTGAAATGCGTTATCTAGAATATGGTTTTAAATGGTCTCTATGTTCCTACGAATATCGCAATTATCGGCCCTTATCGGCCCTTATCACTTCCTGTACCCCACCGAACATGTTCCCGTCCCACCCTGTACATCACTTCTTGGAACCAACGCCCCACTGCTGCTGGGACGCGCGCTATGAATTTCGTGAAATTTGCGTTTCAGCGCCTCTTATCAGGTCTTATCAGTCGTTATCACTTTCTGGCCCCCACCAAGTATGTTCCCTACACACATTCTATTAAGTTGTAAGGAAAGTTCTGGCCGTTTTGGACCCTGACGTAACGTTTTCGATCGCAATAGAAACAAGCTGGATCTACTCGTAAATTGCAAACATTCTTGTGTTTGATCATTCCGCTCACTAGAAGTACTGTAGTTCTAGAGGCGATGAACTAGGCGAAGGTCGTTTTATCATCACGTCAGATTTCGTAGCATTTCTCCTTTAGGGTGCTATCCAGACCTTTGAAAAAGTGGCGGTGAATAGGTAAGAGGACTAGGGAGTGGGATGTTTAGGGCATAGTTCAGTACCTCAGCTAGTTCGTTTTTTGCAGGGTCGGTTCTGCGGTCGACGGTTGAGGTGCATCTCGGCAAACAATCGGGCCATTTCTGGCAGCCCTTGCTGGGCATATGTGCCAAGGTTTCAGGGTATTTTGGCACCTTGCAAATGATACTGTCTTACTATGATAGTTCCGCCTGTGCTCGGAGAGTTGCGCCTGCTGTAGACCGCGTAAAAGGCAGAACAACCTTCTCCTCGTGCATTTCACCTTTGCAAATTTTTGTTGACCCTAGTCTTGATCGAACTTCTCAGCCGAAGACTACAGGTTATTGAGAAGAATCTATTCTACATTGCAACTCACAACACGAACAGAAACCGATCGTTTTCTTTGGATGAAAGATTGCAGAAGAAGGGCAGACGGCCCTACGGAATCGCAACTTTTTGCAACCCCTAGTTATTGACTTTTCCGTGCTTTTTAAGCCATCCCAAGAATCTTGAAACCATAAATCAAATACACACAATTCAGTAGCGGTCTTCTAAACTGTTTTAAGCACATTTGTTTCAGTTGATTTTTACCGAAATTCCACATCCAACGGTCACCCTCGCCAACTTCGAGGATATCGCCGTCCCTACATAAGCTTCCAAACTATCGCTTCATGGCTTAATTTTCGCAAGTGCATGATCAAACGAATAGTGGTGGGTGGGGCATGCACCCAAGTGGGCGGAGTTTGCCGCAAAACTCCATAATTTTGTTCCAAGGGATCCCGGAGACGGGGAAAAAGGGGGTAGAGGTCGGCGAAGGAAAGAAGGGCACTCGCTGTTGATAGGGGAGCATGCATCAAAGTAAGCAGTTTCTTGCCAAACCTAAAACTAGGCTCCAAAAGTCCAGGAGGCAGGGAGAAAGGAGATAGACGTCGGCAAAGGAAATGAGGTCATCTGCCAATGGCGGGCGTGAGGTGCACAAAAGTGGGCGGAGTTCATTGCCAAACCTGTGACTGGGTTCCAAGAGGTCCAGTAGATTTGGAAAAGGAGGGCTGTGTTCGACGAAGGAGGGGAGGCCAACTGCTATAAATGGGTAGGGCGTGTATCAATGTTTGTGGAAATTGCGCAAAACTTATAAAAGCCCCAAAGACTGGGAAAAAGTGAATAGAAACTGACAACGGAGGGGAGGTCAACAGCTATAGGTGGGTGAGACGTGCATCGGAACGAGCGGAGTCATATATATATATAGTATATATATATATATATATATATATATATATATATATATATATATATATATATATATATATATTTTTATTTTTTTTATATTTTATATATTATTTATCGAAGTTCTACAGTGTGTTTGTTGGTGTGTGTGTGTGTGTTTGACCGAAAATTCATAGCTCGGGTCACAGCAATGATAGCGCCATGGTTTTTTACACATGTCATAGGGGGTGGGGTGGGGTCGCAAATGGTGACGTGATAGAAACTGATAACGATTGATAAGAGCTGATAATGAGGGGCTATAAGAAAGCGAGTATCGCCAATTTCGTTTTGTGTCTTCCATCTTGCTAGCACAGCGTCTATACTTAGCTATGCTTTACGTAAAGGGTGGATTCTTTGATATATTGATGGTAGGTGAGAAAAGTGATTACTTACTGGATAATGGACTGATTATAGGTGGGCGTCCAGAATTCGCCAAAAGTCGCAGTAACTTGTACGTTACAGCTTGCGTGCCGACACTCGAGTAGTCCATCAAATTGAACAAGTGTCATATGGGCGTGTGGATTGCGGGGAACAGTTGTTGTTATTGGTTTTGGAATTTTTAGAAAATAGGGTTAACAACGACAAAAGCTGATAAGTGCGTGCTCAGAACCGTTCAAAAAAGTCGTCAAACTGTTTTTTCTACGAAGCTCGGCGGTTGACACTGATTTGAACGTGCCTTATCTTTACGATTTATTCTATTGGCAGTGGTTACGTGCACACTGTTCAGTGCCGTTAAGAATACCAGCCTTACTTACAGTCGATATCCGAAAGTTTGGGGTGGGTGGTGTCACCGTTTAAAGTTTTACGTGCCAACTTGTTATTTTTAGAAAGTGCGTGATAAGCTGTTGCCCATGGGGTACATGTCTTTCGCTGAATGATCATTCAATGTAGTCGTTGATTAGCAGTCTTAGATCTACGCACTCTAATCAAAGCTGTGCTTCACGTCTCTTCACGGTGATAACGCGCTACCCCAACTGACCGATATCGAGTATAATAGGAGTCGATTGCATAAACTCAAGCAAGTCTTCAGTAAATGATAAGTTTCCATTTCTAATGCAATATCAAGAAAGCCCAAACTCATTAAACCGCTAATCCTTTCGGGGTTCTAAATAATGGTGAATGTAAATAAATGATAAGCATTAGCTCCTCACTTATGTAATAGGCATATTTCATTCTCCTTTTGAGACTGACAGCAATCCTATTCACCGCTAAATTATCTGAATTCAAGAAGAATGCTGGATGTTTACAGTTGTGAGATACATACCAGTTCAGCTCCGGACGTTATCACGCGTATTCTCGATGGACTTTAGCGAAACTGGGAAAGGTCTAACAGCTGATATTCCATGGGTCCTCCAGTTTCGTTAAAGCCTGCCATGTAATGCGCACGATAGCGGACGGAGCAAAACAGGTATATGTATATATGTATGTATATATATATATATATATATATATATATATATATATATGTATATATATATATATATATGTATATATATACATATGTATCTAAATAAAAAGGCCCATAAGTGAGCACGGCACAGAGCTGTGAAACAGCCATACCACATATGTCTCTATTAAAACTGCTTGATTTACAGATGGTTGAGCTAGTGGTAAGAACTGTGAGTGGGTTGAAGAAAGCTAGAGTGGCAGCTGTAGCTATGAGCTGTCCATCAGAAATCATCTTGCACATGGATACCTACACTCCTGATCAATTAAGGTGACTCGTTTACTTGCATCACTGTTCACTGCTTGACATCAGAAATCGCTAAACGGTAATCGGCAACCACAAGTTCAATCCAATTTCCTCTCTCTTATAGTAGCGTTTTTTCCTCACCGGCGCTTGTGGC